TCAGATATGCCTTTATTCTCCAAATGTTTAATATGACAAAGCTTCCCAAAGTATGTGTTTTCTGAACATCTTATTAGGAATGTCAAATGCAAAATAATCAAATTTTAAAATTACTCTAAAATCACCAGAGAAGTATATACAAATAAATATATAGAGATATAAACACAGAGAAAGATACAAGTTATAACCTTGAAATAACTTCACAAGTAAATCTATAGATCAGTACTGCCCATCCTACAAATCAAATGAATTAGCTCTCCATGCTCATTCCAGAACCTGGGTTTGAAAAGTCTCTTGTGTGTCTGTGTTACAGTTAAATAGGACAGTCTGAATTATTTTGTTTGCATTGGGGTAACTTGAGACTGTGTGTTATATTTGAATCGTGTTTTCAATTGTGTTTTTAACTCCCCATGAGGACTACAGATTTCCCGTTTAAAGAAAGCCAACATTTTTCCACAGACATCAGTTTTAGGTTAAAGAAACAAATCTTGTTATTCTGCTGTAATTGCTGCGGTTGGCCATAACAAACACAGAACTGCTGTCCAGGTAGTAGCTTTCAAGGATATCTGGTAATATACAGAATAAAGTAATTCACTGATTTGGTTGGGAAATATTCATATGCCTTTCACTTTCAGTTTTTCTTCTGTAGAGCCAGAGAATTACTATTTTGGGGGTTTCTTTTCCCCCTATTCCTATAGGATTTTGCATCTTAAGTATTGTTTCAACAGGAGTCCTTGTGATTTCTGCTTCAGTGCCAGTTTTAAGATCTCGATGTGTCACAATCCACCATGGCTAAAAATGCAGCAAAATCTCAGGTACAACAGCCAAAACCTGAGCCCCAGAGCATTACAGAGTGGCCAGAGGAGATTCTCACCTAGGGAAACTGAAGAATCACAATTTTGATGCACAACAACCACCTCAATAACAGCTCTCAAGGCTCAACACTTGCTCAACGATTGCCTTGTTGCGAATTAAAAGTTTGGCCACCTATGAGAAATAAATGACTACAAATATATCTCTTGCAATGGTGCGTAACCACTAACATTTTTTCAGGGTTTTCCTGTCCTGCATCTGCGTGCTGCCCAGGGCCAGCTCACCTCAAACGACCTGCGTGCCTAAGCCTGTGTGTATATCTGCACATCTATGTGCATGTAGTGCAGTCTTATCATCCCCTCTCTGCAAGTCGAGCAACAAATTCTCAGCACATGCTCTTCCCATTCAAAGACCCACTTTTGTCTTGCGGTCTCACCAAACATCCTCCCTCCCCGCATCTTTGTGTGTGGCTGTTGCTCAGACAGGAACTGCCTGGGTCCGCAGCCTGTTGGCGTATCGTGCAGTTCTTTTATCTCCCTTTGGCATCTCCCTGCCAGCGCACGTCTCGCAGCGGATTTTCTGGGACTGCACAGGGGTTGCAGAGCCATGCACAATCTTTTCCCTGCTTGTTTGCTCGCTGCTTGCAAGATCTTGTTGCTCTCTGCTTTCATCCTAACATCTCCAGCCTCTTTTCTGAGCCCTGTGCTATGTCCTCACCCACTGCCTTTCCAAGCACGTGGCCTGCAGCCAGCAGCACTGCTGTTTAAAATGGCACTTCGTGATGGTCTCTGCCTCGAGGCTTGCACCCTTCTCCCTCCCCATTGCTTTGCAGGGCCCTCATGACCTTCATGACCAGGACCCTTCCTACCAGCTGCTAGTAGCAGAGGCGGGGAATGGACCCACATCTTCTGCACCCCCTTCCGAAACCTCAAAATGGATCCACATCTTCTGCACCCCCATCCGAAACCTCAGCCGCAAGGCCGCCCTGCCGCTCTCTCCGCCGCTTTTCTTTTCGAGCCTGCAGCACTTTCAGACCTGCAACACATCCTCTGCAAAGCTTCAATTCAGAATGAGCCGTGCAAAGAGAAATCTGCCCCCGAGGGCGCCCTCGCCCTCCCCAGCCCCCTCCGAAGCAGGATGGAGCCGTGCGCGCTCCGCGGCAGCCTACACAGCAGCAAGGCTGCAGGAGCTCTTATTTTAGCTTCCGAGGAAAGGAATCACTATAGCAACCAGCACGGCCAAATGGCTCTTTGGCTGCTACCGAGATACAAACAACTTACGTACAGAGGCGTAGCTGAGACAGGCTGCGCCGCGAGCGGCCTCGCGGAGCTGCGATTTTTCTGGCGAGCTTTAGAAACCGTGGGTAACCGGCTCCTGATAAACGCTCGCCAGGATTACAGCAAGCAATTGCTCCGTGCCAGCTCTTAAAATAACCCAATCGATGGCACAGCATCGTTTGCCCCTGTTGAGATGAAGCACGAAACGGTGCTGGCCCCATTTGGGGCTGGCATCCTCGGAAGCGCCCAGCAGAGCAGAAGATGAAGACAAGGAAAACAGTGGGGAAAACATCTCCCCTTTTGTTCTGTCTGCAAATGCAAACTCCCCCTGGGCTTCAGCAGCTCCCGTGCTGGCCCTCCCTCTCAGGCTCCCACAATATTTTTTTGGAGAAAAGGGATTTAATGACAACCTTGCAATGCTGCGGGGTGTAACAAATCACTGTATAAAAAGAAAATCGCCCCCCTTTCTGTGCCTAGGGCAGCCACAACAGAGCCCACATCCAACCTCAGCGAGCACCTTCCTGTTGCCTCACTGCATCACCAAATAAATAAGCCTCTTGGGCAACTGCTCACTGTCATGGTTGGCCGTTGCTTAACTCAAGCGACCGGAGTGTTTCTGGGGGCTTCGAGTAAAAATGCCACCGACATCAGATGCTCTTCTTGCTGGGTTCTCCATGCAAAGCAGCAGCTCTTCATGGTGCTGAGACGAGCAGCTCAGGTGCCCTAAGAACAACAGATTTTGTTATGATGGGAGCAAACAGATACCGGAGGACTCTCCAAAGAGGGTCCAAAGACTCTCCAGAGGACAGGAATAGATGGTTCGCTTCTCAAGGTGGGTGACTGGCATTAACTGCACACTCTCTTCAGCTGCATGGTATCTCTGTTAGATGCAGCAGACTTGGTGCATTTCAGCAAAGCTTTTAAGCAGAGGTTGAGTTCTGAATATACGAACAAGTCCAGCAAAACCAGCAGGTGACCACAGTGCAGGTATGTCCCCAGAGACAGCCCCTTTCAGAAAGGGCTGCCTTCAGTCTGAGCCCTTGCAGCAGTCAGCACACTGATAGCCTCAGGGCAGGTCGTACAGGCAATAAATATCGTTAGCAGTGCCATAATCAATCCTGGTGTGCTCACCTGGACTGTCCTTCCCCCATTTTAACTGCCTTGTAGCTGTAGCACTACCACTTCTCTGCACAACAAGACCTCCGTGATGGTTCTTGTTGTTTGGAAAAGTCATATAGAAAGCAGTTACTTCAGTGTTTCAAATCTAGCCATGATTCGTGGCTCCAGATGTAAAACTGGTGCCAAAATTTGGGTCAGAAACAGCAAGTCTTTTGATGAGCCACATTTTTACACTGCTGATAAGGAGCCAGCTTGTGATTGGAGCTTGATAACACCTTGTTTTGGTTAAGCTTAGCCTTTCAAGCAAAATCATTTTGGGATTAAAGAAAAACATCTCAAACCACGAAATCAGAGTAACAGTAAGAAAGTAGCAGCAGCGTGTGTAAAACCCAGCACCTCCTTTCTGCCTTGCAAAACTGCCTTTGCCCTGCAGACACCTCACATTTCCAAGCAGTAGAATCAGGGGAAATAAATTCTCTTCTAACTTTTCTCATAAGATAATCTTCTGAGAGTACTTGGCAGTGCAGTAAATTCCTCTCCAAAAACCTGCACCTCTTCACAGTATGTCTTTTTATTGATTTTGGGGTGAGGCTTTAAATGCACAACCATTTGCTTACTGGTTGACTTCTCACTTTGTCTTTGCAGCCAAGGCGAGAGGCCTTTGTTGTGGGCCTCTACTGTACCTGCAAGGTGCTGTGTGGTGTTAGAGCTCATAAAGCCTCACTCCCCACTGCTGTTTTGGGGTTTGTTGTGTTGCCAAAGGCTGGTGAGAGCAAGGGGAAAGAGAGCAGGGAGCTGATGCACTGCCCAGCTATTCGTGTGGAGCTGAAAGGCAAAGGGATGTGAAACCGGAGTGAAAAGAGATGTGAAAGGGAGATGAGGCTGAAGTCTTGGAGACGTGGAGCAACCTTTTCTGAGTGCTCACTGGTGGTGGAAGCCTGGTGCTGTGCGCTTCTTTATGAAAGAAAAATAAAAACGAGAAGTGCTTGTGTTTGACCTGCCTATGGGCAAAACTCACGCGGCAGTGACTCAGGCCTGACACAAACCCTTCCTGTGAGGTAGGAATGACCAACAAGAAGATGCAGTGGGGCTAGATGCCAAGTGCAGAGCGCGTTTACTTACACCACTTCCAGTGAGGCAGGAAACACTTAAAGCAGAGCATTAACATTATATTGCATTAACACATAACAGCCGGCTAGCGGATTCACAGAATCACAGAGTGCCTGAGGTTGGAAGGGACTTCTGGAGATCATCCAGTCCAACCCCTGCTCCTGCAGGGATACCCAGAGCACGGGGCACATGGTCACATCCAGGTGGGTTTGGAAGATCCCCAGAGAAGGAGACTCCACAACCTCCCTAGGCAGCCTGTTCCAGGGCTCCGGCACCCTCACAGTGAAGAAGCTCTTCCTCACATGCATGTGGAGCTGCCTGGGTTTTATTTTACACCCATTACCCCTTGTCCTGTCGCTGGCCACCACCAAGAAGAGTTTACATCCTCTTTACCTCCTCCCCTCAGCTACTTGTACCTATTGATCAGATCCCCTCTCAATCTTCTCTTCAACAGGCCCAGCTCACTTCCTCACGCAATTCCCGACTTAAAGCAACAAGCAGCGCTTCGTCCTGCTCTCCGAGGGCCGCAGGAGGAGACCGCGGGAGGAGGCGGCCATGGGAGCAGGCGCTGAGCGCGGATCCGGATCCGTCAGGAAGCGGCGCTTGGCCTAACTCCTCCCCGCTGCGGCCCTGGGAGGCGCCGGTGACTCCGCTGCCTCCACACATCCCTGTCTGTGTCCGCTCGGCTCCAAACACTGTCGCTTCCCGCCCGGAGGGGCCGCAGACCCCGGCGTCATGACGGAGGTGACGAGGGAAGCGTTCGGGCGCCTGCCGCCGGAGGAAGGCGGCGGGACGGTGGAGAAGTTCACGCTGAAGTCCGACAGCGTCCGAGTGGAGATCCTGACCCTGGGCTGCATCGTGGCCGCCCTGCAGACCAAGGACAGGCACGGCGCCTTTGCAGATGTGGTCCTGGGCTTCGACAGCTTGGAAGGTGGGTCTGAATCCACTTCTAAAGTTGTAGTAATAACACTAATAACGAAAACTGGGGAATTTGACCAGCTGGGCTCAGCACTGGACAGGGGACGCTGTGGCTCTAGTGTTTGGCCCCCTCCTTCTGTTGGGGTGGCACTCCTTGACTGGGCAAAATTCCTGCGATTTCACCAATTTTCCTGCTCTCTTTCTGGCCAGGTTACACCAGGAAGCACCCCTTCTTTGGGGCCGTCGTGGGGCGCGTCGCCAACAGGATCGCCAAGGGCCGGTTCACCCTGGACGGGCAGCAGTATCAGCTGGCCCTCAACAACGGACCCAACAGCCTCCACGGAGGAGCCAGGGGGTTTGACAAGGTAAGGGCCGGCCTGGGGGCTCCTTCAGCCCCCGGGAACAGCGAGGGGAGTCCTCGGTCCCGACTCCTCAGGGATTTTGGATGGAAGTTTTGGATGGGCACACGCCCCAGCATCGCTCTCTGCCCTCCCCAGTGCTCCTATTTTCCCTAGGACAGCTCTGCGAGGGGCAAGAGCTGCCCTGTGTCTCCTCCTTGTGATTCCTCTCCGGTAGCGTTGCTGATAATCTTGGTCTTTCCAAAAATGCATGGAAATTTCCACTTTCCTGAGGGCTTGGGCTTTGTGAGATCAAGTGCTTTGCCGGAGGCTGATCCACATTTTCCCTGGAGGAGCTTGTGCAAACGTGCAGGTGCAGCTGCTTTCCTGGGTTAATGTTTTGCTCTGTGAAGGAACGTCCAGCCTTATCGGGCAAAAGTCAGAGCATTGAGAGGGGAAAACCACTTAATGAGCAGTACCAGCTATGAACTGGCATCAAGGCAGGCTTCCAACCTTCCTCACCTGGCCCCTGGGGCTAGTTGAGGTGTCTGCAAAAGGCCCTGCTAAAAATTCGACCCTCTGCAGCCCGTTGCAAACGTGTCTGCGATAAAAGGTGTCAAATCCTGGAGCCGGGGCGTGGTGGTGAACGAGCAGCTCTGCTTCCGCAGGGCTTGGCACAAACGGGCAGGCTCGACCCGCTTAGCCCAGCTAATGGTGGCACCTCGTGGCAGCGGGATCTCCTGCTGAGCGGATGCAGCTGATCTCTGCACGGGGAAAGGACAGAGGTTGGAGTCCAGCTATTGCCTTTGGCACCTCAGCTTCCTGCTTTTGGTGCAAACGTTGCCTTTTGACAAGTGTGATTTCATAAACTGCACAGGCCTTGGATGGAGTGATCCAGAACATTGGCCAGGCCTTGCCTCTGGATCAGTCCTGTCTGATTAGGGAGTAACTCTGCCTTAGAAACACTGGTCATAGCCAGCACCCTCTGGAACAGAGTACTGTGAAGAGGCCCAGGACACATTCCACCCCACATCACAGCAAGCTGCCCCATATCTTCACTCCACATGGAAAAACTTAATCCCCAAGGCAGCCCCAGCTGACTAAGATCAGGCTGGTATTTTCGTGTGTTTTCTTCCAGCTTCTCCTTTTTTTTTGCAATAAGGGAATGTTACTCCTCAGTCCTTCATGGGTAGAAATGCTTTTCCTAGGTGGAAGAGCTGGGAAGGTGGCGAGGAAAAACCTTTGTGTTTGCTTGGGTGCCTTGTTCCTTGGGTGCTTCCTCAAACCAGGACAAGTGATCGGAACGCAGCATTTCCCTCTGCCCTGCAGCTGACAGCCCCATCCTTGCAGGTTCTCTGGAGCCCCGAGGTCGTGCCAAGCGGCATCCGCTTCTTCCGGCTCAGCCCGGACGGCGAGGAGGGCTATCCCGGAGACCTCAAGGTCTGGGTCACCTACACGCTGCATGGTGGGGAGCTGGCCATCAACTACCGAGCCCAGAGCAGCAAGACGACACCCGTCAGCATCACAAACCACTCGTACTTCAACCTGGCTGGGCAGGTAAGCACGAGGGGGCCCAACAACATCGGGCAGCTGCAGGGCAAGGAGAGGAACCCTTGGAGAAGAGACTTCCCATAGGATTATTGGAAGAAAAATTGTTGGTTTGGGGCAGTCCAGGTCTGCTGGCAGGTGCCTAGAAAAGGGTGTGTGAATTTGTTCCTCCTTAGGTGCAGGACTCTGTATTTCCCTTCGTTGAACTTCATGAGGCTCCCCTCTCTCCAGGCTGTCACAGTCCCTCTGAATGGCAGCAGAGCCCTTTGCTGGAGCAGCAAACTTGCTGCGGGTTCTCCCTGTCCCTTCCTCCAGGTCACTGAAGCAGCAGTCGAGCAGTATTGGGCACAACATTGACCCCTGGGCGAGCCCCCGTAGCTAGAGGTCTCCTACCAGACTGCACCACTGACCACAACCCTCAGTGCTCTGCCATTCAGCCAGTTCTCAACCCACACGCTGCCCACCCTTCCTCAGGGACAACTGGGCAGTGTCGGTCTCACCAAGGTTGTATCATGGGAGAAGGAGCAGAAGAGCATGTAGGGGTCCTGACAGCTAGACCACACTGCATCTCAGTCATATTTCAGTCTCACCGTGTTTCTAAGCAACCTTAGAAGAAATAACAGCTCTGGGCAGGGAGTGTGAGATGTATCCTCAGGCCTGAATCCCCTAAGGCACAGCTCTGAGCACCCATCTATGGTCCTAGAAACATCCCAGGCCTTCCGGGCAGGGCGTCTGTTTATGCTGCTGCTCTAATAACGACTCTGCAGTTAATTTACCTCCAGCTTGTCCTCCCGGCAGTTACACAAGCCCCTGCAGCTCGGGCACGTTTCCAGAGGAGCAGCAGCCTTTGGGTATGAAATTGCTGCTCAGTTAGGCAGTGCCGTGTGCGCTCAGCTTTGATCCTATCCTGTTTCTTGACAGCACCCCAGAGGGCACAGGAGAAGGGGAGTGCAGCCCCCTCTTGCACCACGAGAGATGAGCCAGGAAGACACATCCCCACACACCTCATTCTTCCCCACTTTTCCTTCCCTCGGATGCTGAGGCACCGGTGTGCGTTGGCTAGTCAATCTACAGCAAAAATTGCCCCAATCATCCCAATCCTGCAGGATACACAGCTCCCAGGCCCCATGCAGATCTGTTGGCAGGGCTGGTGCCTTTGCCCTGGCACCCCTGAAGTGGACAATATGGGAGAAGGGAGATGCAGTAGGAGCAGGCAGTACCAGACAGCTCCAGTAGCACTGTGGAGCATCATTCCCAGATGCATTTGGGACTGCAGCACATACTGGGATGCTTGAGGAGCCACAGCAAGTGTTTCCTGTCCTCCCACAGGGCTCAAAGGACATCTACGACCACGAGATCTCCATTGAAGCAGATTCTTACCTGCCCGTGGATGACACCAAGATCCCTACTGGTGGGTAGTGTAAGCCTCACTGCACATGGGGGAGAAGGTTTCACTGATGGGTGTTTGGGAGTCCCAGGGAGAAGAGCATTAAAAAGAGAGAAACTGCAGCAGGGGCTCGAGAGGCTCATCCAGGACAACATACCTGCAACAGAAACCCAAGGACCACCTGGGAAAGACCTAGACAGAAAAAAAGCAGAGGTGATATCTACAGCATAGGCCAAGCTGAGCCCATGGGCTTCTGAGCTTATAGCTGGAGGGCTGGGAGGGGTCCCAGGTGGGGCCTTTTAGGCATTTAGGCACCAATCACTTCTTGAGGCCCCATTTCCCCCTTGGGACTTGCTGCTGCTCCCTGTTGGTTGCTGATCCAGTGGCAATGCTGAGCACTGTTACCTTTTTTTGCCCTCTGTTTAGAACTGATGATGATGAAGAAGGTTTGTCCTGGGGATGGCTGGTTTGCACCTGGCCCCAGAGGTGTCAGCGCTGCGAGTTCAGTGCTCAGCTCCCCGGGTTTGTCCCCTGGTTTGATGCTGGCCCTTGTCACAAGTTGACTGCACCCTTTGTGTGTGTGCAACCCTCCCCTGTGGGTTTGAGCAGCGGGAGCTCCAAAACCATCGGGATTTTTGGTGTTTGGGAGCTCAGTATCATCCTTCCTGCCCGAACTGAGGTGTCAGACAGAATGGGGAGCCAGCACTGTTTGCTACAAGTCTGAACGCCCCAAAGTGGCACTTTTAATACAGCTTATTATTTCAGCTAGCTTTAATATCCTGCAGGCCTGCAAGAGGAGAGCTGGTTAACAGCAACCTGCTTGTTTTGCATGCTAAGTGGGTTATTTAAACACAGGTGCTGTTACTGCTGTCTTAGGATAGAAGGGGGGCTGTCACCCTCTTGCACACTGCCTTGATTTGGGGGGAAAAGAGGATAAAACTGGACTTCCCCTGTTCCTCATTTTGGGTGGCTTGAGGTTAGTCTTTCAGCAGCTCCACTTGAGCACCAACCTGGGGACTTTTGTGTGACTCCAACGAGCTGCAGAAAGAGCAGGTCACACTGCAGAATGAGTCTAAGGAAGAGTCGAGTTTGCTTGTGAACAAGACCGACTTTTTTTTATAAAGGAAATTATTGGAGAAAAATAAAAAAAAAGGAAGCATTTAATTTTAATTTCAAAAGCCCAAATTAGATTCAAACAACCAAAAAAGTGGGCCCAGATATTTGTACCTAAATAATGGATTTTTCATCATCCCTCCTGGTTTAGAGGAGTCCAGGTCATCCAGGTGCAACAGTGAATGCTGAGCTGCAGCAGGCGGGCAGAGCGGACAGGCAGGTTCTGCTTCTCTGCTGTCCTTGTAGGGCCACTTTGCCAAGCACAGGGCGGAGGAAAAGCATCTTCAAAAAATAAAAAAAAGAAGAAAAATAAGCCAGGAAGCTTTTTGGGGGAGGCGATTCTGCTGTAACCAAAGTCTATTTGCTTTTGCAAACCACAACCAGCTGTGCACGCACTGCTGAGTGCCTGGAGAAATCTCTTAGCTAAAGGCATCCACCCAAGCTGATGGATCCTTGGATGTTCTCAGCCCTGGGGTGAAGGCTGAGCTCTTGCAGCCTTTAGACACAAAGCCCTTCTGTGCAGCTCTTGCTGGATTTTAAGTAGGTGCCTAAATGAAAATGGTTCGTATTCATTTTGTGCACTGCTCCCTCTAGCAACGGATAGGAAAATATGACTTTCGGGGGGGGGGGGGGGGAATCACCTGATGAAATTTTCATTTTGATTTGGGCCAGCTGCATTTTGTGCTAACGTGTCGAGGGAGGTTGTTCTCCCAGGAGTTTTCATTGCAGGATGCAGCATTCCCACATGTATCCTTAAAAAAGAGACCTGAGACTTAAGTGTGGGGTTAGCAGCTCCGAGTGCTGCTGTTCCCACCAGCCCTGAAAGGTGAGGTGAGGGCAGGGGTGTGCGAGGCTGGAGAAGCCTCTCCCCACCTGAGGAGCTGGGAGCCTGGTGGCATTTCTGCCTTTTACGTCTCAGTGGGAAATGACACCCTCTCTCCTCGCGCAGGGGAGGTGGCCGCCGTGCAGGGCACAGCCTTCGACCTGCGGGCGCCCGTGGAGCTGGGGCAGCACCTGCAGCGCTTCCACCTGGACGGCTTCGACCACAACTTCTGCCTGAGGCCAGGCCCGCCGCAGCGCCTCGTGGCCAGGTAGGACGGGCGCCCGTGGTCCCGTGTGGCCAGGTAGGACGGGCACCCGTGGACCCCACATGGCCAGGTAGGACGGGCGCCCGTGGCCCCACGTGGCTCCCATCCCAGTGCCGCGTGGCCAGGTATGACGGGCACCCGTGGACCCCGCATGGCCAGGTAGGGCGGGCGCCCGTGGCCCCACGTGGCTCCCATCCCGGTGCCGCGTGGCCAGGTAGGACGGGCACCCGTGGACCCCACGTGGCCAGGTAGGACGGGCGCCCGTGGTCCCGTGTGGCCAGGTAGGACGGGCATCCATGGACCCCACATGGCCAGGTAGGATGGGTGCCTGTGGCCCCACATGGCCAGGTAGGACGGGCGCCCATGGCCCCATGTGGCTCCCATCCCGGTGCCGCGTGGCCAGGTAGGACGGGCACCCGTGGCCCCACATGGCCAGGTAGGACGGGTGCCTATGGCTCCGCACAGTTCCCGTCCTGGCGCCTCGTGGCCAGGTAGGACGGGCATCCTTGGCCCCGCGCGGCCACCCACCGTGTCGCGGCGCAGGGCTCGGCACGCGGGCAGCGGCAGGAGCCTCGAGGTGCGCACCACCCAGCCCGGCCTGCAGTTCTACACCGGCAACAACCTCGACGGCTCCCTGCGGGGCAAGGGCGGCGCCGCCTACGCCAAGCACTCGGCCTTCTGCCTGGAGACGCAGAGCTGGCCCGACGCCGTCAACAAGGTGAGGGTCTCCGGCCGCCGCCTCCGCAGGCCTTGCCGGGCGGCTGTGCAGGAAGGAGCGCTGGCCGCCGGCGAGGCGGGAGGACGGGGTTTGGCTGCGTGCTGCAGACCCCAGCTAGCGCCTCCTGACCTGCCCTCGCGCCCCCAGCCGCACTTCCCCGACACGCTGCTGCGCCCGGGCCACGACTACGACCACACCACGTGGCTGCTCTTCGCCGCGGCCTGAGGCCTGCAGACCCCAGCAGGGCCAGGTGAGACAGGAACCCTGCACGAGCCGCGCGGCTGCTCTCAAAGCCGGCCGCCTCGGGGGCTTCTCCTTGCTCCTGCCCCCAGCAAGCAGGAGCCCCAGCTGGAAAGCGCAGGGGGAACAAAAAGCCCCATTTCATCTTTTTCCTCCTTCTTTTTAAGGATACTGTTACAGTTTACACATCTGAGGCAATGTTCACTATTTCACTCGGGGCCTTATAGTAGCCCTCACTTTCCCTTTGTGTGCTTGGACAGGTCTGTAAGCTCTAACACTGAGGTTGCTATATATTTCTGCTAGATATTCCATCCCACTTTTAAAAAAATAAGAAAAAAACCCCACCACTTACCCTTTTTTTTGGTCTAGCCTTGATTCCAGTCTTCTGCTCTGATCAATGTCCACAAAGTGCCTTATCATGCGGTTTTTGACTACAGCATGAGTTTGGATATATGGATGTACAAATACATTAAGCCTTCAGCTAGGTGTTTGCTGTAGGAACCTAGCTTAAACCAATGAAGTCCAGGATCTGGGCTCCTTTAAAACTCCTGCTATTTTCTGTGCAGCACCTTAGAATTCCTGAGGTTGGTGAGGAGATAAGGAAGGCAGAGAGCACTGCAGGAAGACCAGGAGCAGCTTCCACTCACACACGTGTTCCCAAGTTCCTGCAGAGTTATTTCCTTAGGCCTTCCCTCATAAAAACACATGCCTTGAGGTATTTTAGGGATTTTTCTTTAAAGTCCAATTGAGTAACTACAAAATGTTGGAAAAAAATCACTTAGTTATTAATGATTTGTATTGTGTTTGGACATTTCTGCAGACGTTATTTGTTTAAAATATGTGAAGTGTTTTGAATAAAAGCTCATTCTTACATTTTTGGACATCTGGTATCGCACCAAAGAGCGAGCATTGCAGAATAAGAAAAAATAAATCCATCAGGAGAAGAGATGAATGCCTTTGAACGGGCAGAGAGGAAGAAAAAGGCCACATGCAAGTTTCCAAACCATCTGCAAACAGAGGCTGAATTTCAAGTTTCCTTTCAAAGAAACCAGAAAGTGCTCCTGTCACTAGAGGCCATTTGACTACAGCTGTGGAAAGGGACTTAGCTTGAGAAGACATTAGCATCAGTTTTTACCATTTTAGACACTTTTCATCCACCCCACATGGCACCCAGTGAAAGCCACCCAAACGTTAACAGAAGCAGCAGCGTTTCCACAGCGAAGCTTTAGTTAAAAATACACATTTTATTTCAATGTGCCAATAAAAAAGTCCCACATTTTCATATCACAGGGAGTTGATTCATACAATAAAAACTGGCCTGTGCTAGTCTACTGCTGCGACTAACTCACGAGACCCAGATCATGCCAAATTTTCATTCATAGACTCTTCTATCTACATTCTTACATTTACAAAGACACCACAAAAAAATCCCTTATTATAATGTAAGCAAAATAACTTTCTTCACAAAAGTTCATAACTTTAATCCATTCCTTCAGGGCTTGCGCTTCTCTGAGGGCTTCCTGATGGTGAGCGACTGAAAGGAAGAAGGAAATAAAAAATCACAGTTAAACCTAGAGTAGTGATACAAGATTCACAAATACAGCAAAATGATGGAGGATATCTTGGAAACTTCAGCACCCTTCAAGCACTGATCAATTAAAACAAACAAGCACACAAAGAAGCTACTGACAAAATTAATGGGCTGATTATATCCATGTTAGGAGAGACTGCATTTATTTTACAAAAACAAAAAAACTTATTTGTAATAATTCCAGGAAGAAAAAAAAAATCTTCACAATGAGCCCAATAAACAAAATCAACCTGAGTAGTTGCTTTTGCAATATAGATTTATAATTTTGCATTTCTCTACTGTTCCTTCTGTAATACTATTATGCTCAACACTTTGATATATAATGAGCATTTATCCAAGTGCTATGGGACTACTGATGTTAAATTATATAGAGTGGTTTTTAAACAGGGAAAAAAGAAACCCACAAGTGCAAGCAGCAGTCTGCAGGGTAGGAAGATGACCAAGGTGGAAGACAGGCGGCAGCAGGACTACAGCTATTCCAGACACCACATATCCTCTCCCTGTTTATTTTAAACAGCCTTGGTCCAGTAAAACTGATAGAGAACTGAAAATAACGGAGCAGCAGTCAAGGGAAAGGCAAAATAGGGCTGCAAACCCAGCACCTTGGGGAAATGCTTTACAAGAATGGGAGCTGTAACCACAGGTGTTATTATTTCAGCGAAACACCTTCCTGGCATTTTACCCTGAGCAGCAGTTACCCTCCTCAGCACAGATCCCTGCGGATAACACAATGCGAGTTCAACCTCCTCTGGGCTATCAGGATGGAGAACAACTCACCTTCTCTTTGGAGACGGCGATCGGGACTTTGATCGACTGTCAAAACAGAATACAAGTAATGCAGCTTACAGTTAGAAAGGAACTGACAGGTTCAAGACAGTAAATATCTTAGACAACAATGTAATTATCGTCGACAATTGAGCATGAAGTTCTTTAAAATGGCAGTTATCAAATCAGCTTTTACAACAGTAGGGATTTTCTGTTGGCACAGGCTAATTTTAAAGAGCCATCCCCAATAGAGGAAACATTGGGAAACAAGAGGAAGAGCCGAGACGAGGCTTTCAGACAAGCAAAAAAGTCACGGATCTTTTCTAGTATTTTACCCACAGCATTAACAAATCTAATGCCTTTTATCTGATGGGCAGTGGAATTCAACAGAATTCAGCAACACAAAATCATTAACGTGGCACAAACCACTAAGAATTAGTGGAAACAAGGAGGTGGGTAAGGATTATATTCTCTGTAGCATCCAGGGAATCTATATAGTCACTGTTGCATCCAGAACAGATCAGCTTGGTGCCTGTGCTGTGGGTTATTTTTTTTTCTAGAAGCCACCAGATGCAAGTCACAGAATTAACAAGTTTATAAACTATTACCCGAAACACTGATCCAAGGAGCAGCTTTTGTCTATCACGAGAAAACAATACCGAGTTCTAGCTGCCACTGGGGATTTTATCTTTGTATTCTCACCTCTTAGCCGGGGAGCCCGATTTAGATCTGCCACGTGACCTGGACCTACAGGAGGAAAAAAGACAGGTCAGCAAGGAAGTCTGGAGCACACACGTGCCCTTGTTTGAACGGCAGAAAAACTGTAATAATGCCGAACACGGAGCCCTGCACATTTACAAGCCTTATCTTGCTAAGTGTGAGAAGAAAAAGCTTCTGCAGTGATGCTGCACACAGGCTCAGCACTGGGGCACCAGGCTTGTGCCAGTGGCAGGGACTCATACATGCTCTGAACTTGTTCTTTTGTCAGGCTTGAGTTTCACCTGCCACCATGCAGTGGCTGCAGGCAGCTGCTCCCATGAGTGCCTTCAATTCAGTGCATTTAATCTTCTATACACACTTGCTAAAAACCATTCTTTTAAATCTTAACTGTTTTGAAAAAACTCAAAAATAACACTATAAACAAATAGTAAGTCTACAATAATATAAAAATGATTATAAATTTATAGTAAATTAATATAAAAATTAAAGTTTACACATACAGTCTATAAATAATAGTAATAAATAATAACAAATAATAACAAATAATAACAAATAATAACAAATAATAACAAATAATAACAAATAATAACAAATAATAANAAATAATAACAAATAATAACAAATAATAACAAATAATAACAAATAATAACAAATAATAACAAATAATAACAAATAATAATAAATAATAATAAATAAGTAATAAATAATAATGTGCCATGCATTACTTTGATTCTGTAAAGAACCCATCTTTCAATTGCCCGATATGGCAATTATCATATTGCAAGAGTGACTGTGTTAGAAATTACATGTTCCTTTATTGTGGAAAGAAATCACGATACTGAAGAGAACAAACGACAGGCTGTATTTGTTCATAATCCGATGGCCCCACTGCTGGAACATTCAATGGTACAAAGTAATTCTTCACGTTGTTGTACTATCTCAAATCTAATTCAACCATCACAAATCAACTCACTGGGAATAAAGTCTGTTTTATTTCCGATACCTGGAAAACAGCCGTGTGTCTCAGAGCACCAGCCAGGCCTTTAAGCCGTCACTGTTTACATATATTCTCGCTTTACAAACACTACCAAAAGGCCATTCTCGTGACAAATTATAGGAAGTATCCACAGCGTCAGATGTGTGACACAAAGCACTTTTCCCATTAATTCTACATTGGTTTGCCACGTCGGTGAGGTAATGACGCAAACCAACCAAACTGTACTTCTGTTCACTAACAGGACCTAGATGCTGATATGTAAAATAAACATAAAACATAAAAAGAGAAAGAATGACCTTTTGTACTGTTTTTTTTATTGGCTTCCAGCCCATGTATTTGCAGTAAGAACATAGAACTATTCCTGAAATCTTTAAGAACAGAAAACGTTAACAGATCTTTAAACAACTGTGACTAAGCATCCTCCATCACTGCAGAGATCTTACCTGCTTCGTGGCCACGTAGCAGATCTGGATCTAGACCTGGATCTTGACCTAGACCTGAATTAAGAAAATCAAGAACATAAATAAGATCAAAGAATGCAAGTCAACTAGGAGCGATGACTGTTATAACACTACTTACATTAACATCTACATATTGAGAGTAAAATCTGCAGGTTTACTAGGTAGTTTAGACATCAAAATTCATCATGGGACATGCAGTTGTACTGAAGTCCCCAAAAGTGCCTGGATCACCAGGCTTTTAACTTTACTGAGAATTACTGGTAACTTTTTAAAGCGTTCTTAGTCTAATTACCTTGATCTCTTCAAGGAACCTGATCGGGACCGTCGGGGTGAGACAGATCTAGACCTACGAGGAGAAACGGACCGCGACCTACGATAGGAAGCTGACCTGGACCTGCAAGAGAGAATTTAAAAACGAATTATAAAACTGTAGCTCTTTTGTATGTAGGGGAAAAGGAAAAAAAGACCAAGTTAAACACACCTCCTACCACGACTGCGACTGCGTGAGCGAGAATACCTTCTTCCTCGGGACCTTGAGCGGGATCGAGACCGGGACCTAGTTTTAGGTTAGAGAAAACCGGTGTGAGGAAACAGCCACAGCAATCTGTGCATGTGAGCCTCTGCTGAAGTCAAAACTTTCAGACAACTAAAGAACTAGCATCTGTCAGTTGGAAAAAAATGCCTGGGCCTACTTGTCTTGAGCATTTTTACTACCTAGAAAAATGTTAAAAGCTGTATTACATTGCAGAATTACATTAGAATAGAAAACACTGTAATGTGTATTTAAAATAAACCTTGCAAGTTTGCAGGTCGACCCTCTTTGGCCCAAGGTCTAGCAGATCTAGACGATCTAGAAGTATCTATAGCCGATCGCTGCATCTAGGTGTTCTCTTCAATCTAACGACGATCAAACTGACAGCCCAATGAGCCAGGGTGAGGCTTGATTGACGCAAGAAGATTTTTCTAGGTGGGAATGTGGTCAATCTGGTGTTCCTCTTTCTAAACCGGAGGGGGGGGCCCCAATTGAAAGCCAAATTTACTGTTACGGCGATCACCGTCTCAAATTTTCTGCCCTTAAAGAATAAGGTGAAGCTACGTGTAGATGGCTCGAGGGGATCTGGCCTCTTATGCTGATCACCTCAAGGTCTAGGAGGATCTTAAGTGTCGGATTTGCAAGGCGCCTCAGCATGAAATCTTAAGGCTCGTGACATTCTGAATCAAGGCGACTGACTCAAACGAAGAAACCTGAAAGGTTTTGACCAGGTTGATTATTAAGATATTAACATTTGATAGAAATAGCAACAAATTGAAATATACGCCTATACATTTACTCTAGCTTTTAAAGTTAAAAGAAAACTGGCGTAACATTCTCTTCTTTACTAAGAAGAGCTACACAAGAGTTAACTGGTGAAGCAACCCGGCCACTCTGGTCTCACACATACCTGCTCCTCCTTCGGCGACTATAACGATGGCAATCATAAGCATAGTGGCCTTTCTCGCCACACTCATAGCATCTGTCGTTGGGGTCGAAGGGGCGCCGCGCCGGGGGCCGGTCGTAGCGCGAGCGACGGGGCAGCCCTGTCGACACTTCCACTCGCACCCGGGAGCCGCAGATCACCCTGCGACAAAGCCACGGCGCCTCTACGTTACCGCAGCGCTCTTCTGCTTGCGGCAGCACCACAAGAAAACAGGGCGGATATTCCCGATTCCTTCCCCGCTGGTTTTAACTAGCGGAGAGCTCAACTACTCACTTGCCATCGAGTCCGCGGACGGCATCCTCCGCATCCCTCGGGTCCTCGAACTCCACGAAGGCGAAGCCGGGCGGGTTCCTGGCGATCCACACGGTGCGCAGCGGCCCGTAGTAGCTGAAGGCCCTCTCCAGCTCGCCCTTGCCGGCGCCCGTGCCCAGGTTCCCCACGTACACCTTGGTCTCTGCGGGCGGCGCGGGCCGCGTCAGCCGCCATCTTGCCGCGCTCCCGCCCGCCGCGCCGCGCGCCCCTCCCCCACGGCCCCTGACGCAAAATGGCGGCGGCAACGGCCGCAACGGCCGCCCTGGCCCGCCCGGCCCCGC